GGATAGGCTTCAGCTCCCTTGTGACCAATAACATATTCAAAGTTCACAGATCGCTCACTATTTGACCTATTCAAATTTGTGGGTGGGGGCAACCGCTTCTCGAATATTTGTAGAAAATTTTGGCCATATTGAATGATGACGAATTGACATCTCTCATGTGTTACTTTGAAACTTGGTATATTGGGGAAGAGTTTTTCCAGGATGATGAGTGAAAGTTCTGGAGTCTTGACCACCAGTGTGTGTTTTTGACCCGCTGAAATGTAATAATCTAGAAGCCATTTTAAGGGTAAGGTGAGTTTGGAATAATATCAGTGCTTTGGGGTCAGATATCAAATTTATAAACTTGATTATTCTAGCGATCATCCCATGGAAGAATCGAAGAAGTAAAAATTGATTTTGCATTACTAATCATCAAAATCTAAAGTGCGGGTATTGATGTTGTCCAATTGCGACCTTGCCACGCTATCCTATCTGTGACTTTGAATGTTTCTGGCTTTAAAAGGTCGGGCCTGATCTGGCGGGCCTGGTCTGGTGAATGACGGGGGAGTCGGCAAATGTAGAATTGGCTGTTGCAAGCTCACTTTAACAGCTTGCCTGAATGGCGGCTTTGATTGGTTTGCGCATCATTTATCCATCCGTGGCACAAAGACGCCTTAGTGAGAGTTCACGAGGGGAATTTCATTGGCAAAGATTTTAGATCGAATGTAGTTAAAGGACCAACCATGTGATGTGAGAGTTCCATCAATAAATACTAAAGGAAAAAAAAAAAAAGCACAGCTGTATTCTGGCTTGTTCAGTGTCAGGAAATGGACTGTTTGTTTACCTCTGCACTCTGTTAAATAACTCTCAGCACTTTATGAGAGCTAATTTGTTGAAGAGATGACTCACTTCAACTGTTTGGAACTCCCAAGTCCTCCATGTGGTACTTTGATTTGCCACCTTTGAGGGAATGTATTGGTTGCCTGGTAGCAGATGTGTGAGCGTACCTTGACTTAGAGTGCCTTTAAGTGTTTTACGTGGCATCAGCTATCGTCTGGTTGATTTGTTCACTTTTTTTTTTTTCCAAAATTGGAGTTAGTTGAGCCAACGGTTGAAGTGAAGGTGGGGGCGATATACGCTCATGCACTCGCATGTGGGCAAGGAGAGCATCCGACGTTTCGTGAAGGGAACAAATACAAAATCGCACTCGCAAGTTTGCTGCCGTAGGCCAAAACTCTCCCCAAGAAGCTTGCTCGTACAACCGACTCGAGCTCCTGATGTTACTCACGCTAAGCCGCGGCCCTTCAGGTCGCACATGCAGCAGACAAATCCTACCATATGTACTGTAATTACACTTTATAAAACCAGTTATAAGTCAAGGCACAGCTGTACTTTTTTTTTTTCCCCCAGCATGTTGTGGAAGGAGCTTCTGCCTGCTTGCTCTAATACACTCGCTTTTACAAGTAAATTTCCATGTTTCTGGACGTCAAACAGGTCTTGCTTTGTGAGCAGTGGCAAAAGGGTGAGCCGGGGTGTTTTTCTTTGCCGTTGAGCTGAATGCTTTTCTTTTTTTTTTCTACCCCCCCCCCCCCCCCACACC